TAGCTTAATATAGACACAGATGGACACATATGCAAATATTTATAGTTGTGTGTACAGATGTGATTAGTATAAACATGTGTGTTTTCATGCTTTGTCACCTGAGGGACCCAGAAGCAAAGACACTCCAGAAAAACTCCAATAAAGGACAATTGTAAAAAATGCCTGAAGACTCCTCAAAACTGTCAAAGTCATCAAAAACAAAGAATATCTGGGAAATTGTCACAGTCTACAGGAAATTAAGTCTACAGGAAATTGTCTCAGTCTACAGTCTAGTGATTGCCCCATATGTTGTTACTATTACTATTTTAAACAAACTCAGCTCAGTCTTACTGGCACACCTTCCAGTGACATACTTATATGTAATTTCAACAGCAGACAAGTTGGGTTTTAAGTGAGACGTGGAGCTGTTGATGCAAAATTCTGCAACATTTCTACATGTGTTGTGATAGCTTTTGTCCTGGACACTCTTTTCAAGAATGTTTTATAACAATAGTCTCGGCAGATTTCCTTTTTTTATTTTTCTGACCAGTATATTAAAGATAATCTCTTCTAGTGGGGCAGAATTAGGCAGTCTGCTCTTTAAAGATTTTATTTTTTTCCTTTTTCTCCCCAAAGCCCCCCGGTACATAGTTGTATATTCTTCATTGTGGGTCCTTCTAGTTGTGGCATGTGGGACGCCACCTCAGCGTGGTCCGATGAGCAGCACCATGTCCGCGCCCAGGATCCGAACCAACGAAACACTGGGCCGCCTACAGCGGAGCGCGTGAAATCAACCACTCGGCCACGGGGCCAGCCCCAGGCAGTCTGCTCTTTAAATGATTGGGAATTTACGGGGCTGGCCCCGTGGCCAAGTGGTTAAGTTCGCGCGCTCCGCTGCAGGCAGCCCAGTGTTTTGTCAGTTCGAATCCTGGGCGCGGACATGGCGCTGCTCATCAGACCACGCTGAGGCAGCGTCCCACATGCCACAACTAGAAGAACCCACAACGAAGAATACACAACTATGTACCGGGGGGCTTTGGGGAGAAAAAGGAGAAAATAAAAAATCTTTAAAAAAAAAAAAAAAGATTGGGAATTTACTAACCTTGCTTCCTCAGCTGTAGATACAAATGCGTTGCGTACACAGCAGCTGTTTAGGGATGCCCCCCCTCATAGGACACGTAGGAAATGATGCGAACGTGAAGCCTCTGCTTCCTGCTATGTATTGAGTGATAAAGTGAGTAATAAAGTGTCTGCCACTGATTAAGCAGGATCCTTTGTTCTGCAGTGTCTATGAAATGGTGATGGGCTAACCTGTTAGACTCTAACTAGGGTAAAAGTTCAGATCCTTCTCAGGTTTTGATAATGACATAGATTCTTTAGAGTATGAGAAAGACAAATACTACAGCAGTTTAAACAAGAAATAAGTTTATTTTTATCTCATTTAAATGTTCAAGGTGGTATGTTGAAACTCATAAATTCCTTGTGTTTCTACACTGGTATGGCCTGTGATGGTTTCAGGCATTTGGGTGTGTTCTACCACGTTGAGTCACCGTTCTTAGTGTAGTTGCTCATACTCATGGCTCCAAATGGCTTGCCACCCCATACTCATTACAAAGTGAAAGGGGTAAAGAGGAAGAGGAGGGCAAACCCTTTTGATCAGCAGATAATCCTGGAAATTCTACAGATTATCTCCATTTACACCCGTTGGACAGAATTTAGTCACATGACCATAAATTGCAAAGAAGGCTAGCTATAGATATAGATGAGCTTTCTATTAATATTGAAGAAGAGGCAAAGGCTTAGTTGTTATGAAATATAAGTTTAAGATCCACTAGACAATATCACAAAGACTATTTTGAGAAAAGATGTTTCAGAATAGATAGTGAAGGACATACAGGAAATGAAGTGTTAGATGTGTCTTGGAAATTAATAGTGGTGCCAGAGCACAATTTTTCCTATGACAGGCTAAGTTCTCCATCTTCTACTGTCATTTTTTGTTACCAACTAAAACAACGTGTTTTTTCCTGCTCTAAATCCTTACATTTGTATCTGGGATTTTAGAACATGAGTGTGTGGAAGGGCAAAGACATATTATGGAAATTATACTGAATCCTCTGGAGACATAGTTAGAAGTAGTGTTTTTAAATTATATATTTACTTTTAAACATTAAGTGCCTGGTGAGAACTCTTCTATAAAACACAAATTTGAGATCCTTTGGGAATGGTATTCTTGGATTTCATACCCTCATGAGAATTCTTCATAATCTTTAGATATTTTCCTGCAGGGTACAGAAAGCATAAATACTCCATGGGATCAAGTGTTAATTTTTTAATGCACTAGTCTAAAAATCTGTAAAAATAAAAAATGGCTAATCAAACCTTTCACAAAGTTGCCATTTGTAGATAAGAAAAAATGATCATAGATTGTGGGTAGAGTAAGATCCGTTCAGAGAGCAATGGAATATCAATGTGCTCTGTTCAGCATGATGATAAAAGAGTTAAGTATTGAAGTAGAGGTGGTTTTGTCTGAATAAATCTGTGTATATATTCTTTTTTAAAAAGGTATTTGAGTTTTTAAGTGTTTTTGGTAGACTTCTTTAGGACTCAAAAAGATGAAAAGGATTGATATATCTAAAATTTAAAGATCATGTTTTCTGTTAGATATGTTTTAATCCACTTTTTTAAATCCTTAAAGTATTAACCTTATTTTTTCTAAACTTTTAAATTATAATTTATTGTAAATGGTGAAAGGAGAAAAATGAAATACAATGAAAATTTAGTATTGAAAAACTTTTCCTTTTTTAAAGTTACATGGTATTTATAATATCTAACACAATTAAACATCACTGCCTTCATAGGCCTGACTTCTAATGGTTTGGTAATGTGAGTTTTCCTAAGGTTTTTCTAGTTTGTGAGGGGGATAGTTTCCTAATGTTTTTATAGTTTGTGAGGGGGATAGTTAGTGTGCGTAATTGTTGAAGTTGGGCAAAAAAATAGTTTCACATGGTAAAATTCTGATGTAGGTGTTTTAGATATGTGCATTCCTACAAAAGTTGCCATTGAGTAATTTGTGTAAATGAAGAAAAAATTATGACAGATTGCTTCATAACTTTGTGAATGTAAAAGGAATGTCCACAAAAAATCATTTTTTCGCTCCTATATGCCGATAGTATTAATATGATTTTGATAGCAGGTCTCATCTCTTTCCTTAGAATCTTCCTGCAAACTCCTCAAAGTATAACTGGAAACAACTTTGATTTGTCCTCATATGTTTATTTTTATTTATGTATATGCCTCTTTAATAATAATGTATGTTTTAGAGGTTGGAAATAATTATTTTATATCCTCAAGACAGAAAACATTGTCTTATCTAGGGCACATCACCAAATCTTAATCATTTTATGTGTTTGCTGATGAAGATCCTGTAGAAGGAAAATTTCCTTAGAGATATCAGTAATCATTTTTTTTTTAAAGAAATACACTGTATCTGGCCTATAAGTATTTGCACAAAATGCTGTACTTTTAAGAGAACAACTTTGGAAAATACTCTCTTTCAAACTTAATCCTGATCTCCAATTTGGTAGCTGTACAAACCTGAATAACACGACTGTCTCAATATATGCTGGGTGCTGAGACTAGTATTCTAGAGTCAGTATTTCTTTAATTACGTGCTAGTCAAACATTCTAATATCCTTGTGGTAGGGAAGTATATGCCTCCTAAAATTTGTGTCACCACTACTCTGAGATTCGTTATGTGTTGAAATTTATCAGACACTTACCCTCCTCTCTTTTAAGACATGCCGGTTTCAAAATAGTTTGTGTTTTCAGTCTGTAATTTACACAAAGAATAAAATGGTAAGTACAGGAATAGAAGCAGATGGAAAGAAATTTCATTTTAAACATTTTCCCCCTAGAATTTTGATTTACTAATTTTTACTTATTAAGTTACATAGCTTTACTCACTAATTTACATACTTTTATTTCTTTCACTTATTAATTTTCACATATTTTTATATTCTTTTAATTTTTTCCTCACACTCACTATCCAATTCCTAAAAACCCCTTCATCCCTTTCTACGTTACCATAAGGCTTTGACTTTATTTTTCTCTTCTCTTTCCCTCTCACACCTCATATGATTTCCTGAACCGTTTTATATATTTCTATCTGCTTCTCTATCCTTTACTCTCTATTTTCATTTTATTTCACTTGGTCTGCCTTCAGAATCCTAACATACATAGGAAAACTGCAGTTTCTTGTTACAGAGACTGAAACTGCCAAGCTAATGCTGCTGATTTTGCTTCAGGGTACAAAGAAGGAAGGAATGGATGATGACAGAGATTGAGGGCATGGAAATACTAATGAAGACAGCAAATAAATATGTTCTCAATGCCTTATATTCATTTATCTGAAATCGATTTCATGAGCCATGAAAGTAAATGACACAAAAATGAAGCATTTGAGTTGGGCTAGCTGAGTAAAATGGTAAAGGTGTACTAGCCATTTTTGTTGGTGATGGCTAGGTTTGTGTGTGTGTGCGTGCATTTGTATGTGTGTGTGTGTTAAATGAAAAATATTGGCTGATGTACTTGTAATGACAGTTATCATTTTGCTTCTAATATGTACAACTCTTAATTGAACAGGAAATGGCATCCATTCCAACTGTGGCAGAAAGTCAGGGGAGGAAAAAGCATTTTTCTATGCTTAAAAAGTCCCTCTAATTCATTCACATAAAAACAATGAACAATTATATCATTATATAGGTTATTTTGTGGTAGAATTGCAAACTAAAGACTGAATTCTCTGTCCAGATATTCTGGAAATGCAAATTATGGTTCTTCCTGGCAGAACCATCTTTAAAACATCAATGACATTGCGTTACTCTATCTGAAACATCGCTTTACTAACTTTACCTTAAACATTAGTTAGCACTGTGACTTTTCCATCGAGATTGTCGTTTTCTCTCCTTCATTTTCCCTTTTTTTTTTTTTTCTATTTAGAACTGGAGAAGTAGAGGCCAGTAATGGGAAACCACACAAAAGTGACAGTGTTTATCCTAGCAGGTTTGACTGATGACCCACAATTGAAAGTTGTATTATTTATCTTCCTGCTTCTCACCTACTTGCTAAGCATCGTTGGCAACTTAACCATCATCACACTCACCCTGGTGGACACTCACCTCAAGACCCCCATGTATTTTTTCCTTCGGAATTTTTCATTCTTAGAAATTTCCTATACTACTACATGCATTCCTAAATTGGTGGCTATTATGGCAACTGGTAACAAAACCATTTCCTATAACAGTTGTGTTGCTCAAGTGTTTTTTGCCTTCCTTCTTGGAGCATCAGAGTTTTACCTGCTGGCAGCTATGTCCTACGACCGCTGTGTTGCCTCTGTGAGCCCCTGCATTACACCACCATCAAGAACACCAAGATCTGCATGCAGCTCGTCCTCAGCTGTTGGTTTGCTGGTTTTTTTGTCATCTTTCCACCACTCATCTTAGGCCTAGACCTTGACTTCTGCGCCTCCATCATTGTCGATCATCTCTACTGTGACGCTTCTCCCCTCCTGCATATCTCCTGCTCAGACACACAGCTTCTGGAGATGATGGCATTCATCTCAGCTGTGGTAACACTCGTGGTCACGTTGGTAATGGTGATAATATCCTATACCTATATTGCCTTGACCATTCTAAGAATCCCTTCAACTAGTCAGAGGAGAAAGGCTTTTTCAACATGTTCTTCTCACATGATTGTGATATCCCTTTCTTATGGCAGCTGCATCTTCATGTATGTTAAACCATCCGTCAAACAAAGAATATCTCTTTCCAAGGGAATTGCGGTGCTCAATACCTCCATTGCTCCACTTCTGAATCCTTTCATCTACACCTTACGGAACCAAAAAGTGAAAAAAGCATTTATGAATACGGTGCACAGGGTTGTTCCTTTCTCAAATAAATGAATATCCTATTGCATTATATAGAGAGGAAAGGAACAAAGGAGTCTCAGATAACACCGGTGTATCCAATAGTAGTTGTTTAGTTTCTATCAGAGAATTTTTAACATTTACGAGTATTTCAATTACAGATGAAAACCTTTGTTGGCTTACCGGTTTATTTTAAAAAACTAATAATGAAATACAATGTTTATTTGATGTTCTCATACTCAAAAATCTACCTCAATAAATTGGGATACTTCTGATGCTAATTGGATACTGCATGTAAATAACTGTTAAATACGGAGAGCAATGCTTGCTCAATGTATCTATTCTTTCCAAATCATCATAGATATAGCTATATACATATATAGCAATGTCTCCTACCAGTGAATCTAAAATGTAAAGTAAACTAAACACTTTCTTACAGAATTTCAAACTTTAGGTCAGCATTTGGTATTTCAGGAACTCAAACCAATTTCTGTGTTGTGACCAGAATTTAAAAATATTAATATAATAAAAAATGTTTTCACATACACACGTTTCATGATATTTTTTCCAGAAATGTGGTACATCAGGTTATAACTTCTTTTTCATTTCTTTTTTATTTTAACTATGGATATAGATTTGAAGAAAATACATTAGAAATTACTGTCTAAAAGAGCAGAATGAAATACAGCTAGGAAGGAAAATACTTAAGTATATAATTGACTGAACAATTATATAGGTTGTGCACAATTTGTTAATGAACTGAATCTTAAAAGATATTAGAGTCATGAATATGTTTCAAGAGTAATGGTTATTTAAATAATTGATTATGTTTTTTCCTTGATCATTTATGTGTATACTTTCCCCACTTTGGGGATCACTTTTTAGGATCTAATAATCCTGGAGCACTATCTAACTTTTAGAAATTTCAAGAGCACAGAAAGCGAAAAAAAAAAATACATATAACATGTTGAGACAACCTAATAAAAGTAAAACCTACGGCTCTCTCAATATTTATTTTCACTTTTATTGTGTTACGTGCCAATCAGGATAAGTTTCCTTAAAACATACTATCCAAGTTAAACCATTAATTTGTCTTTGAGCTATACCGAAATGCTTTATTTGTATCGTTTTAAATGTCTGTCATTTACCATAAAGGATGTTCTGTGACTCTTAGGAACAGTCCAGCACTGCTAAACCAAGACTTTCCCATTCCTACTTCTTCCCACTCCCAGGCAGATTAAAGTTACATGATCTGTCTTCTCTGGTACTTCAGTAAGTCTATGACATATCACCTCACGTTATATCTAATAGAATCACTCCTTTTGGCCTCTGAATTCTGAATCCCTGGGTAATTTAATAGTGCTGTCATTTTTTGAAATTGGATCTTGAACAGTTAACATAGCTTCTTAAAAACAGGTAAAACATATCTTAAGAGAGCTTCCACCAGAATCGCTGAAATAATTTACCCTGAAATGCTTTCAGCTTTTCTTATCTAGTGAGGGAAGCTGACCAACAAATATGATATAAAAATAAGATTTCTATTTTGTCAACTACTCACTAAATTACAGGAACTGTTGGTGTTTAAATGTAATTCTGGAAACAATAGTGTGATACAATAATTATTATTAGCATTCTTCATAGGAGCAACAGATAGCTCAGTAAGGATAAGACCATTTCGATAGACACAGAACTAAAATCTAGAATTGTGAAAATGCAAAGTCAGGAATGCTTAGTTTTCATTACTCCTATTGAGGAGCAATGAATTATGTAATGATTAGTAAAAGATTACATAGTAGTAATAATTAGTAGTAATTAGGAGAACAATAATACGTGGATATGGATCAAGAGAAATGGAGAAATAGATAAAATTAATGTTCTTCTTAACAGGTGCTTAAATTGGGACCTTAGAGAAAGCGGCTAAATAAGTACGTCATAGAAATGCTCAGTATAAAGTATTGGTAAGAGAACATGAAAGAGTTAAATAATAATGTAAAAATAATATGGGTAATTACAAAACTCAACAATTATAACTTCCAGGATAATTCTGTTAGGACCTATTAAAAACACGTGTTTGGGTAAATCTGGGCAATTTGTAAATGGTAAAATAAATATTTGAGTGTAAAGAAAATGTGGAACTCAAAGAGTTAAAAGTAATGAAGATGTTTGCAAAAATAATAAAGTGAGGATCATAAGAAACTATTGAAGACCACTACCCCCTCAGGAATGCGGCAGCATAATAATTGCAACAAATACCTAACTCTGGTTTGAAAATCACACAGATATGCAGATCAACTTTGTATGGTTTTTTACAATGATAAATGAGTTGAAGGAATCATAAATTATAAATGATACACGTCCATTTATGTATCATTAAGGAAGAAGAAATTAAGGAAAACCTTTTTGATTTATTTTTTATTTAGCTTTCTTATAGTTACATTTCTTTCCATATATCACATAGATTTAGGAAAGCATCAACGTATTTCTTCAACTTAATATCAATGGTAAAAAAGAAGGTAGATTGATACTTTTAGCAAAAAGTAGGATAATGATAAATAATAATAAACAAATGAGGTTTTTTATTTGAATAAAAGTATAGAATAATATTCAAGGGTTATAATTTAAATTCAGGTAATGAATGAAAAATGAAGTGTGGAAAGTATAACATTGGTAGACACAACACAGCCTTAAAAGTGTATAGTTGAGGGGAAGCTTTTGGAACACAGGTTATAGCTGACACTGACATTTAGAACATTCTTCAATCATTTTTTCTTTAATATCAATAGAAAATGCAATTACTGTGTCTTACATGCCCTGGCTCTAAAATATTCTTATAATAATGTGTCAAATTGGAAACAATCAGGTAAAGTCCATTTTGACAAACAGGAATTATACAAGTTCAGAAAAAGGGAATATCTCTCAGTATCTGATGATCCCTAAGCTGATCTATTATTTGACTTTAGCTATCACATGACATTTTATGTAGGAAAAAAAATACTTGTTAGTGTATGTGATTCTTCAAAAGTGTCTTTCTTTGGTTGTCATCATTTTAAAAAATGAAAAATGAAACTCTGTTATTACTAATTTAATCATCTCTGCTGTGTAGTTTTGATAACATTCATGAAAAGGAATAAGAATCAATCAATGGAGATTGAGTTCATTAGACTTGGACTTACAGATGAAACTTTGCTGCAAATTTATTTTCCTGTTTCTATTTCTCAAGTACAATGTTGAGCATGATGGGGAACTTATCCTCCTTAACTTTGTGAATCTCTGCCTAAAGATTGTAATGCATTTCTTCCTCCAAAATTTCTCTTTCTTGGAAATCTCATTCACAATGGTCTATATTCCTAATTTCCTGATAACTGCCAGGACCAAAGACTAAATTTCCTAGAGTGTTGGTGCAATGTAATTTTTTTCCCATCTTTTTGGGAACTACAGAATTTTAAGTTCCTATATCCTGTGACAACTCTGTTGTTGTCTGCAAACCATTCCTCTGATGGATAAGGCAGTGTTGGTCAATCCATGCTCAAACTTTGGTAGTTTTTGTAGTCAGCTCTCAATGGTGCTTATCATAGCTCATGTAATTGACTATATTTGTTTCCTGCAGAGGCCTCTAAGTTCCTCAAGAGGAGCCTACATCTTACACATTTCTACATTCTCATCATTTAAACCACTGCCTGGAAAGGAATAAATTAACTAATGAATTAATGAATGGCAAGAGATAAGAACAAGGTTAATATATTCACTGATAAAATATGATTCACATGTGGCATTTGATGGAGATTAATATTATTCAACTGATGTTGCTGTTTAATAAATTGTAAGATCAGAGGCTGCTTTTGTTTTCAGCAACAACTGACACGAGGCTATAGGAGATAAATTTATGTAGTACAGTAAGGGGAACTCCTTGGTTTGCTGGTTATAACTCAAGCTAAGAATTTAAAGCCACCAGCTTGTCGTTGTCTTTCTTTAGATCCTCAGTGTGGTGAGAAATAGCCTCCCTGCCTCATAGCACTTGTGGTGATTGTATTTCGCATGCTTACCATATTGCTCTGTATCCCCTTCATTCAGTCAAGAAAGAGCAGCCTTTAATGCAAGTTTCTTTCCAAGTGATGTTCTAAGTAACTCTGTCAGTACTTGAAGCCATGGACTTCCAATATCCCACCTTCTTATGGTCACAGCATTGTCTTCAGACACCCAAAGATCAGATAACTAATCCCCAAATCCCCTCTTTAAGGGTCTATTTCATGTAACCATCTGTGCAGTCGTGACCACTGGGTGGCATTCTCCAGGATATTTCTACATGTCTTGTATTAGATCTGATTTTGTATTATTTTTGCAAAGATGTTTTTATATCATTCAGTCTTGGAAGATAGAGATCATCTCAGCACAGAAGGCAGATGTGCTGATTGTTTATCCTGATCAGTATTGTGAAATAACATCTCCCAATGTGACAAGGTTAGACAGATTTTCTAGCAGCCTCTTTAAAATTTTGTTAGTGTCCTAAGCTTAGGGTATTGTCACCAATTGCGTATACAGCATCCATGTGGGCCCTCTTGACATTGTGCCTCCTGGGGATTAGGAGGCAAGTGGAACTGAGCGAACATGAAGCTCATACAACCTCCTATGCCGTAATAAGACTTATTGTCCTGAGTCAGGGGTCTTGTGCTTTCTGCTAGAATTATGAAACTGTGGCTGACTATCTTATTGTAGCCCTCCCAGTAACTGACAGTTTTGTTCCAAGGACAAGATTAGGGATGTGAGACTCCTCATATTCAGTTGTGGATACTCTTGTCCAGTGGTGAGTGACGGGTAAGAGTCCTCCACTGTCACACCAGTTAATGAGGCTGAGGGCCAGGAGGTAGGTTTGAAACTAGCCACCTGAGCAGTGCTTTTGGTTGTTGCTCACACCTCTAGGTGGAAGGAGGAAGGGTCAAGGATGCCTCAAACCCGGCTTTGGAATTAATGCTATATTGGAAGTTTGTTTGATTGTCCCCAAGCAGATATCTGGCTTCTTGTAATGAAAAGTAAATGTG